TGTAAACCGCACAAGCCCACAAGGCTAGTCTCAGTTTAGCTATGTTGCATTAAACATTATGACTATGAACTAAGGGGTTATGCTGTTATAAAGAGAAGGAAAAGAAATGTTACTATTAGGTCATTAGTTCAGACTTACATCTGAATTGTTGAGTAATAAACATACTTTGGCGAGTATTTGTTTGACTCAAGATGAAAATTATAAAAAATAAATAAAAGTGAATTTTTTTTTTTACATAATAAAAGGAAATCAATTAAAACTCTCAGCGCTGCGCACTGGACCAAACTGGCCTCAGGCAGACAGCAGTGTAATTTCTCTTCTCTGGGATCACCGTCCATCATTCGGATCCGCTGCTATGGATTGTCTTCCATCCAGGTGGGACAGGGGGGCATTTTCCCTCTTTAAGAAAAGTGGGAGGGAGGAGAGATAATTAACAAAAATATCAAGAAAATGATCTTAATGTGCAGTCTCCAAAGGCTGTATATTAAGGTGCTCTGTAACACGTATGTTCATATACTAAGTGGGATTACCGTTTGCAGAGCACCACACAGCTGTCCTGTGGTGGCCGAGGAGTCACGAAACTCAGGTCTGGCCGTGCTGGTGCTGTGTGTTGACATTACATTTTCATCTACAGACACCTTTTCATCGCAGAACTTCCAGGGGCAATCCAGTCCTGCACAGAGTTTCTGGAACACATCCAATATCCTAACACCAATGATTTCCTCAATATCAGCCACAGAAGAATTAATCTTGTGTAGAAGCTGTTTTGTTGAAGCCTGGGCACTACCTGATTTCTCTACAAAGAGTAAGACATCCAGATGCGGATGAGGTTCAGAGGGCTGCAAACTAACAATCTGTATGTCGTTCCTCCGCACACCCAAGATGTTCCGCAAAGCTCGCTGGAAGTTGCGCCAGTAGTCACCGACAAATTCTTCCGGGGTGAGATTGGCAAAGCGGATAGCAATGGTGTGGTTCAACATCTCTTGGGTTATTTGTCTGATATGTACTGTGACGTCAGCCACTGCTGTAAATTTCCCGTCTGTTACACTGACGTTGAGAAGGTACTGCCCTATATCCAGCTTTTTGTGTGCTATCAGCTTACCCCCTGTGCTGGAGACAGAGAACAGGTTGTCCATTTGGGGATCGAGACTGTAGGTTAAAGTGTCGTACACGTCTTGGTCGGTTGCATGAATCTTCCCAATGACACCACCTGAGTACTCCTCTCCAAAAGCAGTAATGAAAATCTCTAGGGGCAGAATCGCAGGAGGATAGATGCTTTCCTCAATAACCCTAATGTCAATGTGTGTCAAAGAGGACAACTGAGGCTTTCCATTATCTGTCACCTACAAGAAAAAAAAATCATTTTGTCTATATCATTGTTTACAACTTAATAAAAATACATTTATATCATTCAAGTTATAAGAAAAACTACCAACTGTTAGATACCTATTTCTTCCCATGAAAAGCACATCAAGGAAAGGATAAATCACTTCTTTATAGCTCTTAAACTAACTCATACTGAAATTCAGCTCCATCAATGTCTTTGATAAAGTAACCAAATGAATAAATTAGACCCTTCAAAGGATAAAATGGGATAAAAATGGGAGGTAGGGCAAAAAAACCAAAGACCACTATTGTATAAATTGTGTTTTCTCACGAAATATAAGCTGCTCGAATATGGAGGTAACCACACCGGGCAACTCTTCTCTATCAATACACAATAAAACCATAAAGAAAGACTTTAATACCTTAACATGCAGCAAGTAATGATCTTTCACTTTCCTCTTTATGGCAGCTGAAGTCAGCAGGACGCCTTGCTGGTCAATGTCAAATGCTTTGTCATCATTCCCACTCACGATAGTGAAGAAGAAGGGGGGGCCATTGTGAGAAGAATCCTTGTCTGTCACGACTAGCTGCAACACACTAAAACCCACTGGCTTATTTTCCTGCACGAAATTAAAACAAACAAAACAAAAACCTTTCAATGCAACAAAACTGATAAGGTAAGAGACACATGTGAGTTTTCTATAATATAAAATATACAGAAAACAAGCCTTATTGCTGCTCTATCTGAAAGAAGAGAGAGGGGAGAGGGAGGGGGAGAAGAGGGAGGAGGACATGGGGTGGAGGAGGAGTGGGAGGAAGAAGAAGGTCAAGAGGGGGCAGCAACAAGCAGGAAAAGCAACAGCGGCAACAGAAGTGATTGTGATTAAGAAACAAGCTCTCACTGATCTCAGACTGAGACTATCTCAAAAGGAGAGATAAAAGCTTGGTTGCATCTTGAAAACGCTCTCCTTTTAATATTGATGGAGACTCTTCTAACTTTACTTTTCCCATTTTTCTATAAAGAAGTCTTTGGAAAAGAAAGATATTTCCAACCCACAACTGAGGCCGAAGAACGAGCTCATTTCAAAAGGATTCCAAGTCCCGTGGCACGACAGGCAGCCCAGGCATACCTGGATAATCACGCTGTAGTTCCCCTGGGAGAAGGCTGGAGCGTTGTCATTGACATCAGACACATCAATGTTCACAGTGGTTGTGTTGACTCGGGGTGGGTTGCCATTATCAGAAGCTTGAATTGTGAGAGTGTAACCTGAAATCTTTTCGGGGAAAAGACAGAGAAAATGCATGTTCGTTTTCACAAGGCCAATGAACAGGGTTTCAATCAGAAGTGTCCTCCTGACAATCTGGAAGTGCCAAAGGGCAGATCGCAATTAACTGTTAGCATCTGCTGTGGCCTGCGTGTGTGTAATTCTCTAACCTACAAATGAGTGCACTGCAAATAACATGTATTTTCTCAACAGTAAAAGTTACTAATAATGATTGGATTCCCTGATGCCCCTCAAAAACGTACTCATTTTGTTAAAGTATGTTATCTTTCAAAACTTGCAATTCTATTAATGTATAGTACTTATTAAGAAATTAAGACAGAAAAGTAATAACAAATGATTAGGAAAAAAATGTTAACATATCTCAAATGCTATTGCTTCGGCAATATGGGAGACAGCCTTCCTCAGGGCCCAAATCTTGCTCTCAGCCCTAAGTACACAGACATTAGCTATCTACTACCACACTTTAATGCTCATTTCCAACACCTCGGGAAACTCCAGATCACCCTCCCCTCAATTTCACACTTGGATTGCACTTAGCTGTCTAAATCCCTCAAGATTATCTTTGTGACCTCCTACAAAAGAAATTAAGTCAAGTGAGATAGCTTCCTTCTCAGGGCAGTTCCCTATTAAAAGCTCTCCCTTCTAGACTGAGTGGTGGAAGAAGTCAGAAAACTGGCTAAATCCAGAATATGTTCTGCACAACATCAGTCCTGTAAGATGCTCCAACAAAAAAGGGTTCTGAGGACAAATTAGCTTGGGAAACACCACAGGCTATATCTCCTCTGCTACCCCACAATGGGCAGAGGTATATTAAAGGATCTAGGTTCTTTAGTCAAAAATGCTAAATTTTATTCTGCCCGGCAGTACAATACCAGGTGTAACAGTCA